AGGTCTCCTAGTGTTCCCCTACCCAGGTATCCTAGTGTTCCCCCCTCCAGGTATCCTAGTGTTCCCCTACCCAGGTCTCCTAGTGTTCCCCTACCCAGGTCTCCTAGTGTTCCCCTACCCAGGTCTCCTAGTGTTCCCCTACCCAGGTCTCCTAGTGTTCCCCCCTCCAGGTATCCTAGTGTTCCCCTACCCAGGTATCCTAGTGTTCCCCCTCCAGGTATCCTAGTGTTCCCCTACCCAGGTCTCCTAGTGTTCCCCTACCCAGGTCTCCTAGTGTTCCCCTACCCAGGTATCCTAGTGTTCCCCCCTCCAGGTATCATATTCTATCACAGTTTTGTCTGGTTCAACGCCGGGGGCTTAAATATTGTTTTGTTTCAGAGACGTTTGATGCTAGGTATCCCTCATTTCATGCATGACTAACTCCGAATTCGTGAATACTGATTAAAAACTTTATTTCATTTATTAAATGAAAATTTTAATGTTTCATTTTTATAAAAGAATAATTCCCATGTTCCAGTTCCCGTAAATTTAAAAAAAAAAAAGATCCCATCAAAAAGACCTACAACCTTGTCTCTTACAAATGTAAATTTGACTACGTAACTGTTTAATATGTTGAATTAGCTGCTATTTATAGGCGAGAGCCTTTCAAAATGTATATTCTTTGTATAAATTGGACATATATTAATGTTAACAGCTAATTTCTTTGTCTCCACTCCGAAAACGTTCAATTAGAAACTAGACGGCTTGGCAAAGTACTAAGACTATATTAACAGAATACACAGCAGCAAGTATGGCTCCCAAAAGTAAACAGATACTGACGTCACCCGTGTGATATGTTCGCCACTATTTCTTCTCCAAACACAACCTTCGAAAAGGGAGAAAATTGCTTTATTTGAAAAGTTTTGATGCAATTTATCAATTAAAAAATTTCATAAAATGCTACTTTGGACATTGACAGCTTAAGTACTGAATGTGTAATGAGAGGTCCTGTTTTAAAGTGGTTTATACGCTCTTCAGGAGTGACCTGGGGTGGACTGCCAACATCGACGCCACCAGAGCCGCCATGGACCTTGACGATGACCTCAACGGCTGGATCACACTGTCCGACCTGACTCGCTGGCTCAACATCTTCGACGACGACGGTGAGTGGACATTCCTTAAACTGCCGTGTTTCTATGAAAGACAAACCGACACAAGTCCTGACGAAATAAACACCTTCATTGAACGATATTCGTAAAACACAGAGATATCACATGTAGGCTACACATTTGAGCAATGGCGTACATTGTAAAATAACTTTGCCCATCATGAAACGAACTCATCATTACGTATCAAACGAGATCAAACAATTCAATAAATTATTTCATGTTGCCATTGAGTAGAAGTTAAATATTTTCCCTACGCAGCGTTAACTCTAAAATATTGCAACATAACATTACAAGTGTTTGTGAAATCTACGAAACTACACAGTAAATTGTGCATATTGATAATAATTACTAAAATATATTTTTTTAAAATTCAGCAGGTTTAAATTGAGCGTATACTTCTCTTTGAACTGTCCGAGTGTGTTAGTAATTGTATAGAAAAGAAATACCTATACATACATGAGAAATGATATGACGCTTTACATATAGATGTTTTCTACCGCGATGTTTCAGGTGACGGGTCCATCAGCAGGCGGGAGTACGCCAGCATCCAGGCACAGCGGTACGGGGTCAATGCGACGATTGCGTCCGCCATGTTTGATTTGGCCGACACGACAGGAGATGACAAGCTGGACTCGCTGGACTGGGAGCAGCACTTTAAAGGTCAGTTTGTCATTGGGTGGCTGAGATTTGTATATTTTTTTGTTATACATAATTTGCTTCTGGCGTGGCTGCTTCCTTATAGCAACCGGCTCTCTACTGCTTCCTTATAGCAACCGGCTCTCTACTGCTTCCTTATAGCAACCGGCTCTCTACTGCTTCCTTATAGCAACCGGCTCTCTACTGCTTCCTTATAGCAACCGGCTCTCTACTGCTTCCTTAAAGCAATCGGCTCTCTACCTACTCAACAAGTTTTATATTAATAATACCGAGGGGAAAAAAAAGCTGTCAGCAGAGAGCGTCATGCGTGACGGTTGAACCCAGATGATAAGGTTGAATTATTTCGAAGGCGACTTTTATATTAATCAATAAATAACCACGGGTATGGTGTAGGACTGTCTTTAGGCCTATGGTGTAAAGGCCAGCATCTATATGTATAATTCGCCAGCAAAGGTCAAACACCACGCAGTCTATTTATAGATACGCCAGAGTGTGGTTCAATAATGAGTTCACTAGCGCGTAAATTATAATTCCCGATAACTATAATACGCTAAATGATATATATATATATATATATATATATATATATATATAAGA